TTTTTTTTTTTTTTTTGGTACAGGCAAATTTATCGCGATTTTTGCTCAATTATGCAAATTTGCACGATTGTTGACATTGTTATATGTTGATTTATCACAATTATTGCATCCAGTTTTTGCGTATATGTAAATTTTTTCGATTATTAGAGGTTGTTTTTTGCGTATTTGTAAATTTAAGCATGTATCGCTGTTCTTAGATCGAAAATGGCTGTAATGGAGGAGGCGTGAGCAGCGATCATCATCATCATCTCGAAGCTTCACTGGGGCCTTCCACCCGGATTAACAAGGGCTTGCCATCGGAGCTCAAAGAGGTTTTCCTGGCCCGACATCCCGATTTGAGGCTAAAACTGCATGGCGCAACAACGCCGGATGATGTGCCCACCGATCCTTTCGTTACGCCACCATCTGTTCATGCAGTTAGCAGTATCAAGGTTTGCTCTTACTTTTAGTAGTTTTCCTAGTTTTTGCCAAAATTAGGGTGTTCCTTGTTGATTGGATGGAACCGGAACTTTCCTGGAGCTTTTTAGACAATTGCGCCATCATGAACTTCGCGAACGAGTACCTACAATTGACAAAATTCTTCCCCATCTGGGGATTCTCCATACAAATATTTTTGTTACCCGCAGAGAATGGCCAAAAATTTCGAATAGGATTAATGTACAAGGCAGTACACACACATGCTTTATTGACTTATGAAGCAGTTCGGCTTCAGCACGTGGGATCCACGGGCATGTAAAGGCGGAATTTGAATCTTCGGCGTCGCACTTGAGCGAGGAACATTTTACTAAAATTTCAGCTTCCTAGCTTTTGTGTCACTTCTCTGAAAAAGCAGCATCTGGGTTCCGTTTTTATGTCCGTCTGTAACATTTTGGGATCTTAATAGAAAGAATATGCCTAGCTATGCTGTTGAATTGAATCATAGTCTGGAAAATTTGCATTTCGGTTAAAATTACAAACAAATACTGAGAAGGTTTGTTTTTGTTGTTAAAATAAATTTTTATAAAGTTTCGTCTGTCGGGCTGTCCTACAAGATATTCACTTGACCAAGCCTAAGATAGTCTCCGAGAATAGCCGCATAACCTAATTGACCATTTCTCGGAATTTCGTCTTGCTGTTTGTTTTTATATTATTTACAGCTCCGGTTTTGGCCATATTTCGAGTTCTGGGGAGTTAGGGTTTCCGGACTGAATTCGGATCCTTGCTGCATCAAGTTATAGCTTCTTCCACATGCAAATGGCAAAATCTTTGAACGTAGTAGCTCAGAATGTGTGTTTCAGATCCGCTCAGCTCCACTCTCAGCCAGTGAAGATGATCGAAATGGCTCAGATTCTTCAGCCTGCCCCCATGATCCAGAGCCGTCGGCGGAATTCCCGGATACGAAAGATATTGCTGATGATGGCCCAAATAAACAGTTGTCATTAGGTGCATTGAACGGCGAATGTACTCAGGAACAGCTGAATGGCGGAGACGCAAGTAGTATAAACGGAGTGCCGGAAGAGACCACTCCTGAAAAGGTATGTGAATCGGAGGTTTTTGAGGTAATTTTCGTAAATTCGGCTTCTTTTTTGCTCCCGGTTGCGCAGTACTAGTGGTTGGTTCTTGGATTTTTTTGGATTTGTACTTTTATTTGGAATTCAGCTGTAATTTGCTATCTAACTGTCCACTTGTACAATTTGTACGGCGATTTTTCCAGTTGCTTTGACCGCTGCTGCATTGCTTGATAATCAGCTTGCTGATGCTTGTTTCGTTTCTTGAGAGAACACCGATTAGTGGATTTTTTTTTTTTTTTGCGCAAAGTCAGTTTGGGGGAACTTTGGCCATCTCGATGTGTGAGCGAGTCCACATACTTTACAGTTCTTCTCCTCGAGAAATCAATTTTTGGGATGGACCTAGATTTGCATCCATGATTTCTGCGACAA